TTAAAAAGGCTACTCTAATGCGTGGGTGCAGCAGGTCTCTCAGTAGCTCGAGGTGCTCGCCGATCGGGATCTTCAGCCGTTTTGCTAGCTGTGCCTTCCTCTGGAGGAATTGCTGCGGCGACTCTGCTCCTTGTTCTCGGCCGAAGAATTCTGATTGCATCTTCCCGCGAATCTTGCTGCTGTCGTATTTTTCGCGGGTGTAGTTCTTTAGGTCGTTGTATGTCGGTGAAAATGCCTCGTAACTGTTCCACCATTTCGCAGCCTCCCCTTTTAGTTGTGCTGCTGCTGTTTTTAACTTTTCCGCCGGGTCGGTGGTTTGGATTGTCTGCTCGAGCGTGCTGAAGAAGACTGTTGGGTCCTCCAGGTGGTCGCCGCTGAAGGTCGGTAGGTCCGGTGATGCGGTTATCTGCGCGTTCTGGAGGGCGTCGGTCAGCGCCTTTAGCATGTCGAGGGTGTGTTGAGAGTGTTGGGCGCCACTGGACGGGGTTGCCGGGTCCAGACCGGGGTTGATTGCCGGGGTCATCTCCGTTGTTTGAGTGTCGATACCTTCGTCGGCGCCGGAGTTGGACGTCGGGGTGTTCCTGCTCCTCGTATTCATGGTGTTGCGCGTCGGCTGTCGCGGGAGCGTGGGCGTAGATCCTCAGAGCGCGATGCTGCTGGTTGACTCACACGTATGGGCGCCAATTGTTACCGGGCGGGGTAACGTAAGTGGCAAACGGAGGTTGAAAAGTATATTACACAATATTTACAAATAATACAGAGGCTATATGTACATATATAAGATCGCTTCTGGCACGTGGGATGGCGCCGGACTTGACTACGGTCAAGCCGGGAAGTGATGGCGTGCGGAGACGGTACTTGAGCCCAAGCGACCAGCCTCAGTCGCTTGTATAGGGTAAGGTAGGTAGTGAAGTTCCCCTGTCGGTGCGCTGCTTATAAACGATTTCCGGTAGAGGCGTCTGGCGACGCGGCCAATAGGGCGCTAGTGGATGGTGGGGTGGAAGTTGCAACCCCTCTCCTAGTCGTCGTAACAGTATCCCCCCCCTGTAAAGGGGTTGCGACGGCGGGGTGCAGGCGCTGTAGCAAACGGCGGTGACGGGGTTGTCGTTGGTTCCGTGGTGGCGTCGGTGAAATGATTCTTGGCGGAAGTTCCGGTACTGGTGCCGGGGTGGGTTGGTTGGGTGCAGGGCGTAGATCGTGTACGTGCACCTTTACCAGTTCGTTTCCTCGCCTTATCCAGTACGCGTTTGTGCCCGCCAGTGCTTCGATGGTGTAGGGACCTGTGTACTTCATGTGAAAGTTCCCGGAGTGTTGGTCCCTGGATCTTTCCATCACTCCGTCGCCTACTTGGTACTGGGTGCGGGCTGGCCCGTAGTTCGCGTACCGGCTGCGGGATCGTGCCTGGTTCCTGTGCACCGTCTGTACGACCTCCTCTCGGGCTTCTCCTGTCGGTGGAGGTGGTCGATCCCTGGCTTTCCACTCTCCTGGCCTGGGTAGGTCGTAGCCTAGCAGCGCGTGGCTCGGCGTGAGTCCAGTAGCGGCGTTTCTCCTCGTACGTAACGTGAACATGACAATGGGTAGTACGGCCGCCCAGGCGCTGGGGCTTTGTCCCACCAGATGAGTGCGGAGGCCCTTTTTGATTTCTTGGTTCCGGCGTTCGACGGGGTTCGCCTGCGGGTGCCATATGGGCGTCGTCCAGTGCATTGCTCCCCACTTCCGAAGTGCCGCGTCCCATGTCACTGATGTGAATTGCGGTCCGTTGTCTGAGATGATCGCTCTCGGGAAACCATAGCGTGCGAATACCTCGTGTTCCAGGATTCTGACCACTGTTGGAGCGACTGCTTCCTTTACTGGAAATGCCTCCACCCCCATGCTGAAGAGGTCCGTGATCACGACTATCTGGCGGTAGCCTGTAGGTGTGGCGTCGTAGGGGCCCATCAAGTCTACGGAAACCGCTTCCCAGGGTCGTGTGGGTTTGCGTGGGCGTACGGTGGCGTCCTGGACCGGGCCTCTTTTGACTGCCGCGCAAATCCAACATGCTCGTACATAATTCCGCACCGTGTCTCCCAGTTTCGCCCAGTGGTAATGTGTCATTATGGCCCGTTCCGTTTCTTCGGCTCCTGGGTGTCCAGCTGTGGCTGCGTTGTGGTACGCTTCTAGTACCGCTGGTTGAAGGCTGCAGGGGACTACGAGTAGGTTCCCTTGGGGTGCTTTGCGGTAGAGGTAACCGTTGTCCACCGTGTAATCCCGGTTGAACCTTGCTTGTGCTGGTGTCGCTGGTCCTTCCTGCTGTATCCTGTGCCAGGTGCGTACCAGAACGATGGCGTTTTCGTTTGTCTTTTGGCACTCCTTCACATGGTCCGCCAAATTGGCCACTTCCACTGCCGCGATTACCGGGGTGCTGTTGGTTTGTTTGGACTCGTGTGTGGTCGTAGGTGGCAGCATGCGGTTTACGTCTTCTGCCGTGGCTTCTTCGGCTTCTTCTGCTGATGGGTGGCGGGACAGGTGGTCTGGAAGCTCGTTTTCTTTCCCCGGACAGTGGACCACATCAAATGTAAATTCTTGGAGCCGTAATGCCCAACGAGTTAGCTTGCTCTTTTCGTCTTTTGTGCGATCCAGCCACAGGAGAGCGCGGCTGTCTGTCTTCAACGTAAAACGTCTATCTTCCAGATATGGCCGGTATCGTTTAATGGCCCATACTACTGCCAAGCACTCCTGTTCGTTGATATGGTAGCGTCTCTGCGCGTGGTTAAGTTTGGCACTGGCGTAGCTGATAATTTTTTTCTCTCCGGGGTGGGGTTCTTGAAAGAGTACGGCCGCAATCCCGTTTTCGCTGGCGTCGGTTTGCAGCACGAATGGAGTGGCGAAGTCCGGACGGCTGAGTTGGAGTGGTTTGCTAAGTGCTGCTTTTAACTGGCTAAAGGCGACGTCGGCTGCCGCTGTCCATCGGAAAGGGGTGTTCTTTGTTAGTAAGTTATCCAACGGTGCTTGTAATTCGGCACACCGGGGCACGTACTCTCGTAGCCAGTTGGTCAATCCTAGAAAACTTCTTAGCTTCTTCCTCGAGGTGGGCCGGTCTGCGGTCCGGATTGCTTCGATGTGTTCCTGGCACGGGCGGTTCCCGTTCGCCGTGATGTTGTGGCCCAGGTATTGGATCGTTTGCACCCCGAAGCGACACTTTTCGAGGGACAAGCGGAGTTTGTGGCGTTGCAGTCGTTCCAGCACGAGGTGTAGATGTTTGAGGTGCTCGTCCCAGGAGTCTGAGTAGATTATTATGTCATCCAGGTATACCATGACGAATTTCCGTAAATACCCGGCGAGAACGTCCTGGGTCATTAGCTTCTGGAACGTAGCAGGTGCATTCTTGAGCCCGAACGGCATTACTTTGAATTGATAACTCGCTCCATCAGGGGTTGAAAACGCGGTGAGATGTCGGGATTCCGTCTCTAGCGGCACCTGCCAGTAGCCTGATTTGAGATCCAGGCTGGAAAAAACTTTGGCCGTCCCCAGGTCTCGGAGGGTCTCCTGTATGACTGGCAGGTTGGTGCTCTCGTCTTTTGTGATGGCGTTTAGACGACGGTAGTCGATGCAGAATCTCGGGCGGCCGTCTTTTTTCTGAATTATGACGATGGGCGAGCAATATTCGGACGTGCTGGGCTCGATCACCTGCGCTGCTAACATAGCTTCCACTTCATCCGCGATGACCTTCTTTTTGTTTGGCGAATGTCGATATGGCGGAAGTCGGAAGGGCGTTGTTTTGGTGACTCGGATGCGATGTGTGGTGGATGCTGTTGTTGTGGGCGTTGCAGGATCGGCCAGTGTGCTACCGAAAGTTTCCAGCAGTGTGGCCAGGCGTCGATCGAGTGGTGGTTGGAACCCGTGCTTGACTCCGGCGAAGTTTATGGAGTCGCTCGTTGTTGGGCCGCGGTTCGGAGCTTGGTCCCAGTGTGTTGTCTGCCTTGTATGGGTTCCCCAGTGGATGCACGCTCTCTCGTAATCCAGCACCGCTCGATGTTCTTGGAGCCACTTCTGTCCCAAGATCATGGGCACGACAAGGTTTGGTGTCACCAGGAAGTCGTCCGATTCTTGCTTGTCGTTGAGCGTGTACTCGACTCTGGATGTGCCGATGACTTCCAGCTGATGGCGGGGGTTCGCTAGGCCGGCTGTTTGGTGGTTGCTATGGTGGATTTTCCACGCGAGCTCCTTCTGGATGAAGTTATGGGATGATCCGGAGTCGAGGAGAGCTCTTACGCTTTTTCCGCGTACCTTGACTGCCAGCGTTGGTAGGTTGGGTCGGGTCGCAGTCTGGATTAGGTGGACGGCCGGGCATTGTTCCCGACCGCTGCCCCGTTTCCCTGGTCTCGGCGGCGGGTCAGTACTGGGCAGTCTCGGTGGAAGTGATATTCCGGGCAGTGGTGGCACTTTGGTGTGTTGGGAGGTCTGTCGGCGGGGGTTGGTGGCGATGGTCTGGGTTGGTTGTTTCGAGGTAGCGCTTTGTTGCAGTTTTCGATTTCCTCGGCGTGACGCACCAAGTCGAGGAGTGAAGTGGGTGTTGTGGTTAAAAAGGCTACTCTAATGCGTGGGTGCAGCAGGTCTCTCAGTAGCTCGAGGTGCTCGCCGATCGGGATCTTCAGCCGTTTTGCTAGCTGTGCCTTCCTCTGGAGGAATTGCTGCGGCGACTCTGCTCCTTGTTCTCGGCCGAAGAATTCTGATTGCATCTTCCCGCGAATCTTGCTGCTGTCGTATTTTTCGCGGGTGTAGTTCTTTAGGTCGTTGTATGTCGGTGAAAATGCCTCGTAACTGTTCCACCATTTCGCAGCCTCCCCTTTTAGTTGTGCTGCTGCTGTTTTTAACTTTTCCGTCGGGTCGGTGGTTTGGATTGTCTGCTCGAGCG